GTCTCTTTGAGAAATTGCTGAACAAGTATGGCAGGAGGGCCCGCGATGCTATGCGTTCTTTGAGAGATAAATTTAGGTCTAAGAACCCCCACACGCCCATTCCAGAGTACTTAGAAATGCAAAACCTTGGCGTGCGGTCGGACTTAATGGCGGACCTCATCGAGGACCTAAGAGAGCGATACCCAAATATAAACCTGGCTCTCTTAGACATCCAAATAGGAGATAAAGGGCAGGTTCAAGTTAGAGAATCGGGTAGGGAAAAATGGCACAACCTGTATCAAAGAAGGAATTCCAGCCTGCTTAACAACCAGCTTCCAAAAGGAGTCACAAATGCGCTTGGAGCACCCAACTTAACGATACTAAGCACTTTGACAGAAAAGGAAACAGAAGCTGCTCAAAGGGCTTTCCGTAGAGGTCTTTCGAACCCTGCTATGAAAAATGCCCTCAGATCCGCAATCAGACTGCAAGAGGAGCAGCGGGTAAGACTCGAACAATTAGAGACCGTCGAAGAGGAAAAAAGCAAACGACTTAAAGAACTTCCAAAAGATAGCGACGCGACTGGAGGCTTAATGAGATACTTAGAGAAAATAAGGGCTGAAAGGGAAGCACTTAATAACGAAATACAGGAAAATAACATAACCATCGATGACCTTACGCGACAACTTGATATGCTAACCAAAGATGAGGGTGGCATCCCTAAGCTCCTTGATGATTTCAGGGAGGATAACATAGCATTACAAAGCAGAATAGAAGAATTGGAAGACGAATTCATGGAACAAAGAAAGTTAACCATTAAGAGTCATGCTGATCAAATTGCAGACTTCGAAGCTAGGTTAACTGAAATGTCTAATGAAAAGAATGAGGCGAAGAGTAAGTTAAAGACCGCGATAAATGAAGCGGCGGGGAAAGACACGGAACTACAGCGCTTGGGACAAGAATTAATGGAGGCCGTCGACAGAGAAAGGCAAGTAATGCTGGACAAGGCAGTGGCGGAGGAACAAATGCGGCAACTTCAACAGGCCGTCGAAGACTTGGAGTACGAAATAGATCGACAACGGGAAATAATCGAAGATCAAACTCGCCCTGAAGAAGAAAGGGAGGCAGCCCAAAAGGAAGTAGAAACCCT